AAAAATAAAGAAATTTAAAAAAAAAAAAAGATGGGATATGCCTCAAATAATTTGATTCAAGCAGTATCTCTCATTTTTTCCCTTTGTCAGTTGAGTTGATCACTGCCCACAGTAGCACCTCTCTCTTCACATTCAGGCTTGCCTCCCAGTTGGGCTACAATTATCCCATGAGGCCTATCCAGGTACCCCTGCCTCTGGAGACCCACTGTCCTGCATGACCCTGTTCAGTTGTATCATGTGCCTCTTTTAATTGAAGAGTTACAGGAAACTATCTGGTCTCTAGTTACAGTTCCAAGAACAAGAGAGTTTAGTATTCAAGAATCTCATGAGTGGATTATTTTCTCGGTTCTCTTGAGAGTGGAACATAGCTAGTGTCATCCTAGATACGAAAGTAAGAAGTCAATTCAAAGCAGAGAGGCCTTACATCTTCAGGTCTTTATTCTCCTGGAAAAGATTAAAAGGATACTAAGTATGTACTTGGGGCGGTGGGAGGGGTGCGGGGGGGATTGTGTACCAGGGAGGGAGTTTTTCTATTACTTTTCAAAGAGAAACGTGAACTGGGGGATGGGGGGACTGGGCGGGGAGAGAAGTGCAGCAATGAATGAATGAAAATCCAAAATCAGAGCCGACACCTCGTCCGCCTCGGAGCACAGGCCCCTTTGCATAGTCACCGCCGCCTGTTCACACCCGCAACCCCCAGCTCACCATGGATGATGACATCCCTGTGCTCCCTCGTGGTCGACAACAGCTCCGGCATGTGCAAGGCCAGTTTCGCGGGAGATGACGCCCCCGGGCTGTCTTCCCCTCCATCGTGGGGTGCCCTCGGCACCAGGGCGTGATGTGGGCATGGGCCAGAAGGACTCCTACGTGGGGGACGAAGTCCAGAGCAAGAGAGGCATCCTGACCCTCAAAGTACAGCACGGCATTGTCACCAACTGGGGCAACATGGAGAAGATCTGGCACCACACCTTCTACAACGAGCTGCGTGTGGCCCCCGAAGAGCACCCTGTGCTGCTGATGGAGGCCCCCCTGAACCCCAAGGCTAACCAGGAGAAAATGACCCAGATCATGTTCGAGACCTTCAGCATCCCTGCCGTGTACGTCACCATCCAGGCCGTGCTGTCCCTGTATGCCTCTGGCTGAACCACTGTCCTTGTGATGGATTCTGGCGATGGGGTCACCCACACTGTGCCCATCTCTGAGGGGTACTCCCTCCCCCATGCCATCCTGCATCTGGACCTGGCTGGCCGGGACCTGATGGACTACCTCATGAAGATCCTCACCGAGCGAGGCTGCAGCTCCACCACCACGGCTGAGCGGGAAATTGTGCGTGACATCAAGGAGAAACTCTGTTGCCCTGGACTTCGATCAGGAGATGGTCACGGCGACTTCTTCTTCCTCTTCCTCTTTGGAGAAGAGCTACGAGCTGCCCGATGGGCAGTTCATCACCATCGGCAATGAGCGTTTCGCTGCCCCAAGGCACTCTTCCAGCCCTCCTTCCTGGGCATGGAGTCTTGTGGCATCCACGAAACATCATGAAGTGTGGTGTTGACATCTGCAAGGACCTCTACGCCAACACAGTGCTGTCTGTAGGGACCACCATGTACCCAGGCATTGCCGACAGGATGCAGAAGGAGATCACAGCACTGGCCCCCAGCACGATGAAGATCAAGATCATTGCTCCCCCTGAGCGCAGATACTCCGTGTGGATCGGCGGCTCCATCCTGGCCTCCCTGTCCACCTTCCAGCAGATGTGGATCAGCAAGCAGGAGGACGAGGAGTCTGGCGCCTCCCTCGTCCACTGCAAATGCTTCTAGGCCGACTGTTTAGTTGCGTTACACCCTTTCTTGATAAAAAAACCTAACTTGCGCAGAAAAAAAAAAGGATGAGAATTGGCATGGCTTTATTTTTTACTTTTTTAAATTTTTTTTTTTTTTTTTTTTTTTTTTGCGCTTGACTCAGGATTTGAAAACTGGACCGGTGAGGGTAACAGCAGTTGGTGTGGAGCAAGAATCCCCCCAGTTCTCCAGTGTGGCCCAGGACTTTGATTGTACATTATTCTCTTTTTTTTAAATAGTCCTTCCAAATAATAAACATGGCTATGTGACAGGAAGCTCCTGACTTTCCAAAAGCCTCTCCCCATAAGCAGAAGAGCCCCGTCCCTCACCGGGGTCTACGCATGGACAGGTGTGGCAGGGAGCATTGCTTTTATGTAAATTATACCTTATCCAGTTTTTGGTTGGTGTTGTTTTTGTTTTTGTTTTTGTTTTTTAATATATCTTCTGCCTTAATACTTGTTCTTTAGTTTTTGTGGTGTTTTTTTTTTTTTTTTTCAATAGTCAGCCATTGGAGGCCCTACTTTTTTGGGGCCCTTGCCCTTTCCCTCAACTCTAGAAATATGAAGGCTTTTGGTCTCCCTGGGGTGGCTGAGATATGGAGGCAGCCAGGGCTTTACCTGTACACTGACTTGAGACCAGTGAATAAAAGTGCACACCTTAAAAAGTGGAAAAAAAAAATCCGAAATCTCTGTAAATGTTCATTAAAATTATTAAAATAAATTTTTTTTTAAAAAAAAGGATACTGAGTGTATAAATTAATTTGATGGCTACATCCCATGTATGCTTATCAGGACCATTCCTGCCACTGCAAAAGCCCCATTTAAGTAAGTAAAGAAAATAGGTTCTAATATGTATGTATTTTTATATAAATTAAGAACAAATTGTAAGGAGTTGTGTTGCCCAACCGAAAGGCACACAGTTTGTTTCCACCGCCTGTTCTATGAAGAAAATAAAGATGGGCAATCTTTCCTTTGTGATTAAACTGCTTCTGAAAACCCGCTAGGTGGTGAGCTAAGTCACATAACAACACTAGCAAATTTATATACACATACACATGCCTGCATACATGTAAACACGTTAAACACCAGAAGATATTTTGTGAAGGTATGAATAGTGACGTAATAGGTAATCTTTAAAAAAAATTAAAAACTGTATTTTCTGAATCTGTTCACAAGTATGTGCTACATATGTGTTGTTGTTGTTGATTGCCTTCGAGTGGAGCACGACTCATAGCAACCCTATGAACAAAAGCCCTAAAGGCACACTACAACTATTGACATTTATCAAAGTTCATAGAGTTTCCAGAGGCATGTTATTGAGGAAGCGGATGCCACTCCTGCTTCCAAACCTGTAATAGTATGTTATTGTTGTTATATGCCATTGAGTCGCCTGCGATGTATAGCGACACTATAAAGCATCTCTGAACCCTTCCCTGTCCTGAGCCAGTCTCTAATTTCAACATACCAACCCCCATTGCCCCAGTCACTGTTTCAGTACATCTCATCTGGGGTCTTCCACTCCTGCCACTGTCCATCCACCCTTCTGAGCATGATGTCCTTCTCAAAGGACCAATTTCTCCTGGGCACATGCCCAGAGTAAGTGAGGCAGAGCTTCAAAATCCTAGCCTCCAAGGAGAGATTTGGTTTCACACTCTCCAAGACAGAACTGTTTGTTTTCATGGCTGTCCATGGTATGTTCAAGACTCTTCTCCAGCACCACAACTCAAAGGTATCTATTCTTCTGTCCTCCTTAGTCATTGTCCAACTCTCTGAAGCATAAACAAGTAATTGAGAAGACCATGGCCTGGATTAGGCATACTTTTATATCGAGACTGATATCGTTGCTCTTGAGCACTCTGGAGAGGTCCGTGACAGCAGATTGTCCCAATGCAATTCATCTTTTGATTTCCTGGCTCCTGGTAGTAAGAAATAAAAATTTTAGTTTAGGAAAAGGAACTACCCAGCGAGAATCATCCAGTCACATCCAGGCAGATGGCACCATAGAGCTGCCATCCCTCTGTGCTGGGCAGCACCAGCACCCTCTATCTCATAGCTTCTGGTGACATGTTAGGACTCTGTTCACCTCCTATTTTAAGACTGAGTTTAGTTAGGACATTTTCTTTTTGACGCAATGTGATGTTTTTTTCCTTTTTAAACTTTTCAAATATAATTTTTTTAATAGATACTTGTTTGATGGTTTGGTGTAGGAATTTGTTCCAGTATAATAAAAAACCTATTGTACATTATAGAAGAAAGAATTAGGTTTCTAAAAAGTAGTGTAATATTTGGTATTTGCTGAAAAGCTTTCCAAAGGCTGTTCTATGATTAAGAGTCTGTAGTATGCTTAATGATAAGGAGTTGCACTGCCAACCCAAAGACACATGGTTCAAATCCACTAGTTACTCCTTTGGAGGAAGATGGTCAGTCTTTTCCTGTGGGATTTATTGCCTCTGAAAACCTGCTGAGAGATCAGCTATGAGTTGATTCCAACTCTATGGCACACAGCAACAGGATGATTAAGATTATCTCATTTCTATTAATTTTCCAGATTTAAGCTAAAGATATTAATAAGTTTTTCTCTCTGTCACTATCCCTTCAACTCCAACAACAGGATATCCAGTGATTCAAGCAACCAGTGGGCATTAGCGATACAGTTTTGCAGGCTCCACAATCTGAAAGTGAGCACATCTTACCTCGTAGAATGTGCCAAAGCAAATGATTGGCTGCAGTTCATTGTTCACAGCCAACTCCATAACTACCATCCGGAGGAGGTAAGCCACTGATTGCTGACAGTTTTTTGAGAAAGAAAATGGAAACATTTCTCAGTTTAATGCTGTTCTTCTGTTGCATAGACAAAATTTTTTATCTGATACAATACTGTTGTTAAGATTTTAGTGAGTTGGTTTCAGACAAGGAGCCTAGTTATTAGGAGATACTGCATTTTCATGACTCTAGATTCAGTATGGGAATTCACTCAAAAGTGGGAGACAGTTTAATAAAAATTATATATTCACCTCTGACATGATTTCGAGTGAGTGGCAGCATTGTGATAGACATGAAGAGACTGAGATTGTTAACTGCTTCAGCTTGCTTGGTTCCATAATCAGCACTCTTGGCACCAACAGTCAGGAAATCAAAAGATGAATTGCATTGGGAAAGTCTGCTGTCTGAGACTTCTCCAGAGTACTGAAGAGAAACAGTGTCAGTCTGGAGGCTAGGTGCACCTGATCCAGTCCATGGTCTCTGCAATTGCATGCTATGCATCAGAAAGCTGGACAATGAGTACGGATGTTAGAGGAAGAATTGGTGCCTTTGAGCTGTACTCTAAGAGAACAAACAGTTTCACCCTAGAGACGGTGAAACTAGGCTGCTCCTTGGAGTCAAGGATTCTGAAGCTTTGACATACTTTGGATATATTTCAAGGAAGGACCAGTCCTTGGAGAGGGATGGCATGCTTGGGAAGGTGGAGGGACAGCGTAAGAGAGAAGACCCTTGAGAGATGAATTGAATCAATGACTAGTGTAGTAGGGTCAGTGTGTCAGAGATGATGAACTTGGCTCAGGAAAGAGCAGAGTTAAGAGCTGTTGTACATAGGGTCACTGTGGGTTACAACCAACTCAGTGTCACATTACAACAACCACGTTCTCTTACATACTCACCGTCAATGGGAATGGAAAATTTTGTGTCTCTTTTAATCATCTAATGTGTTCTCTAGGTAAAATCCCTTCTCCAGTATTTCAACCCAGTTCTTCAAGATCACTTAAGACTGGCTTTTGAGAACTTACCCTCAGACTCCATAATGAATAGTGATCAGGTCTGTGACAAGTCTCCCCAGCAACTCCTGAAAAACAAAGAGCAGATGACTGATTTCTTTGAAATTTTGCTCCAGTGCTCAGAGGAGCCAAACTCCTGGTGCTGGCTCCTGGCTAAAGCAGTGAAACACCGGGCCCCTGTCCTGAGTGTCCTGGCCTCTTGTCTCCAGGTGAGGACCATGAGAAGCCAGGGAGCAAATGAAAAAGTGGTTAAGGATTAAGAAGTCTGGTAATCAGAGGGGAAGTGGGGCGATGCTAAGTGAGGCTTGAAAGCATATGTCCAGGTTCTGTTCACCTCTTGGTGCTCCTACCGCTTATGGTCTGGCCCGTGGACTCAAGTAGTCAATGCCTTCATTGTTTGGTCTACAGAGGAAGTAATGGCTGGTGGATTGACCACCACTGCTGTTCTAGGTCTTTAAAGAGGATGTTTTCTAAACAGTTCATTGGAGGACAGTCTTGTTCTCTTATATTCCTTACTGCTTCCACATACATCTTCTCCCCTCGTCTTTTTCTTGGCCTTCTGTTCTGCCATCCTCTCTGCAGGACATTTTTCTAATAAGCACTTAGTTTTGTGTTAAAAGTTTATGCTTAGGGGAGCTCTGGTGGCCTAGTGGCAAGAAGCTGCACTGCAATCCCAGAGGCACACGGTTCGAATCCACCAGATGCTCTGCCGGGAAAGGAGGGGCAATCTCCTCCTGTACCAGTCAGGTCTGATTTGACGGTATACACACACACACAAATAATAAAATAAAAATTAAAAAAAAAAGTTTATGCTTGAAAGCATTTCAACTCTTTTTTATTTAATGGGGTGAATTATTCTAACAAGAAATATCCTTCTGTAGTCATAGCATTGCTGGAAACATCTTCTATCCCAGTTATTTTAAAGTTTCTTAACCAATGACAGGATGCCAGTGCTATTCCTTGTCTCTGTGTTTGGATTGTCACATCTGTGGAGGACAGTGTTGGTGCTCAAGCAATGAGACACATTCAAGACTCAATGGACAGTCATAGCTGGGGCCTTGAAGAGCTCTCAGTCATCTGGAGAACGTTATTAACAAGACAGAAGAGCAAAACTCTCATCAGAGGTTTCCAGCTTTTCTTTAAGGTATTGGTGATCACTTCATTCCTTTCCATAGTTTAGAAGGGTTACTGCTGCATATTGTCAGTTTGCTTTTTATTTATCTCACTTCTGGGATGTTTTGTGGGGAGTTTCTTTTTGTTGGGTTTTGTGGGTTTTTTTCAGCCAGCAGTAGATGATAATAATAGATCTGTTTAGCTAAGTTCTTTGTGTACATTATTTTCCCAGTTTTCATAATAGTTTTTGTTGTTAAGTGCTGTTGAGTAGCAGGCGACTCATAGTGACCCTATGAAGGAGAGTCCTCAACGCTTGGGTGCCTTTCATCCTCTCTCCAGGTTCATAGGGTTTCCGGAGGCAAGCTATTATGGAAGTGGATGCCACTCTTCTTTCCACACTTGTTTTAATCGGGGAGCTCCACCCCACTCTCTGCCTGCATTGGGTAACCAACCATTAACGCATTTGACACATCACAGTGTTCAGCCTCACAGTTGCTGTACGGCAACTTCTACACCAGGGCTATATGACCTAGAAGAATGTCTGAACAAAAACAATGAAAGAGGGAGCTCTGGTGGCCTAGTGGCAAGGACCTGCAACTACAATCCCAGAGGCGCAAGGTTCGAATCCACCAGATGCTCTGCCGGGGAAGGAGGGTCAATCTCCTCCTGTACCAGTCCGATCTGATTTGATGGTACACTCGCACAAAAATTTAAAAAAAACAAACAAAAACAATGAAAGATAGGCTCGAGGGCCGCCGATTAAAAGTCACCCACCTTTGGCTTGGTAGCATCGCTTTCTGTTAATTGGGCCAGCTGATCTCTCTATGTATGTTAATGTTATTGTTGTTAAGTGCCATCGAGTCTCAGGAGACTCATAGTGACCCTATGAAGCAGAGTCCTCGACACTTATTGTTTTATAATGCATTTTAGAGAGAATGAATGAAACCAAGATAAAGATATTCGGGATCTCAATGTACTCTAGTAAATGATACACTATCTAATAGTTAACGTGTGTGCTTTCTAATTCCAAAACTTTTCTTATTAACTAGTGCACTGTATTGCTTTTTTCACAAAGTGATGGCTATGTATAGATAGCTGTTAGAGATAGCACACATGGTGTGAGTGAGTCAGTCGAACATATGCCGAGTACGCTTTTATTTTCATAGTACTATAGCACCCCCTAGTGGAATATTTTCTGCTCCTAGGTTGACAAATCAAGTACAGAGTGAAAAAGGCCTCATTGCTGTAAAGTATGAACTAAATCCTCACTGACTCTCCATTGGATTTCTGAGCTGGAAAACACACAGAGGGAGATAGCTCGTGTCTTCCCTGTGGAGTGGATGGTGTATTCAAACCGCCAAATGAGCAGAATCCATCACGAGAGCTCCCTTGATCAAATCCAGATAGAAAACATATTGATGATATGAGCAGTTGTGCCTAGCCTAAGTATCTTTTTCCCCAAAAGAGAATAAAAGTTCACTTTTTTCCAGCATATACAATTTGGTACCAGTATAAAGATGTTATTACTAGCATTTGTTTTTACTCTAAACTTCTGTTAAAATAGCATTATTCACCACAATAAGATAAAGGTAAATAATCCAGTAGAAAAATGGGCACAGGATATGAACAGACACTTCACCGAAGAAGACATTCAGATGG